ATCATCTCAGCTTATGAGAACTAAGCTTCTGTCTATCTGATTATTAAATCATTTCTAAAGCAGATGGGAAACTATAGTAGTTTAAACAGCTAGGCTGAGACTGCATGGCTAAAAATAGTATAGCAGGCTCCTTTTAATTAGTAAGATGATCAAATATGACAGAAGAAAGAGATGTAGATATATGGATTTGTGTGTATGTGTGTCTTTAAAATTAAGTTATTACCTCAATACCAGGTATTATTTATAACATATATGATACATGATGTCTGATTTTTATGATGTCATTTATCTTCACTTGGGAGAAGAGACAGGCTAACTCTGCTTTCATAATGTCAATTCTTGCTGGATTCAAAAGGAAAATTGTAATAAGATAAACCTGCCACCATGCGCAGTGCCATCATTTTTTAAATGAGGTGGATTAGTAAGTGCTCCGATGCCATAGACTGTCAGATCCGCCACTCCCTGAGATCGGCCCTGCCCCAGGGTCCCTGTGGAGAGCACAGAAGAGCCAGTCTAGCTTTATACCTGTGATTTCAGGGCATGGGAGCCCAGCATAGCGCTATAGGGGTCAGGGACCATGGTGTCTATCCTACCACTGTGCTGCCCACATATTTTTGAGGACTCTTCAAAACCTGAACAGGAGAGAAAAGAAATCTGCTGCCCCTCTGCTTCCGCAGTGCTGGCCGACATGTGCCCTGTAATGATCTGCTCCACCGTGCGGACATGGCCCATTGGTGTTCACCAGATGACTGATGACAGTGATGCTTGGTCCTGGGAGCACACAGCTGCTTCCGGGGGGGGGGGGGGGCTGCCATGAAGCATGCACAGATGCTGCAGCTGCAGGCTTCAGAGAGGTAAGATGAGGAGGTTGAGGATGTCTGGCACGTTGGGCACTGGGTTAGACAGATGTGCCAAGGCTACAAGAGGAACCCAGACAGGGAGACACTGCAAACTATGCCCTTCGCTACACGAGGACCTCACCAGCAGTGGGCACAACCCCCTTCTTGGCCGCTACACAAAGTAACCGTCCCCACAGTGAGAATTCTCCTGGCAAAATCTTGCTGTCAGTGTCCTGTTTAATGCAGACCAGATAGCACCTGACTTCCAGAAAGATCTGGTGCAACAACCTAGTGCATTCATTAGTCATGAGCTGCCTTCTCCTGGACAAAAGTACCAAGGCAAGGAAGATGAGACAGTGGGTCCTGTAGGAATTGAAGAGTGATATAAAAAAAATAAATCTGTAAACTGCTCTTCTTTCTTATTCCCCACTGATTCCCTTGAAGGTGGCAAGCCTCTGGCTGGTTAGCAGGGCTCCCTGGTGACTTTCTAAAGGATGTCAAATAGTCTGGGGTTAATCTCTGTCTCCTGGGTTGTGACTCTGAGATAAGCAGGAGCCCTGAGGGTAAGATGACTTCCACTTGCTCTGAGTCTGTGCTCCCAAAGCCAAGCTGTACAGCTTTCCCCCCAGTGCAGGAGAGCAATTCAGAAACACTGAAAGGTTTTTCTGGGGAGGGGTTTAACCCAAGTAAGAGGCAAAACGCCTGCAACACTGTTTGCAGTTTGCCAAGAAAGCCTTACTGTTTCTTTTTCTGAAGTGTATTTTTTTCCTTTCTCAAACAAGAGGTGGTGAGATCCAAGCAACTAGTACAAGCAGACCTAGAGAGTCTGACTCTTCACCCAAGTGAAGACTCACTAAGGAGCTGGGCATATCTGGCATTCTGACTACAAACAGGCCTTCTCTGGTATGGAGAGCACCCCTGTAAGTACAGCACCATGAGCAAGGAAGGGGTCATGAACCTCCACCTCCATGCTCCTGCTCTGGCTCTATGCCACCTACACTGTTAGTGGAACTAAGTTCCCCAAATCTGAGTACAGTGGTGCAAAAAGGAAACATCAATAGATATATGTCTTCCCTCTGTTGCTTATCACAGTTGAAAAATCATAGCAAATTCAATCAATAGTATCTGCTTTATTTGAAGAAATAATGAGGAAACAATGAGCTTTGGGGGAGGTTCTCAATAGGCCTGAAGTGGCAAAGTACTACAGGAAATAATAACTGATTGATGCTGGGAGAGAATTTGCTCTGTATTTTAAAACACATTTTAAATATTCTTGTGACCTTACTAATCATGGCGATGCAGAGGCCATTTTATTCCTCACTGTAAGTGTCTTTGAGCTATTCCTCAACTAATAATTTTCCTGATGTTTCTGCTAAATGACATACGTTTTTGGTAAAACCGTGTTCTTGAAATCCGTATTTAAACCTTGAAATTCAAATGCAATTAAAATTCATGGGTTTGCCCCAAAACAAAGTTCTGGAGGTCTACCCCAAGTTTTGCATCATGTTTCTGGTTCCTGTAGCTTTGGCAGGGTTTCCCAGTGAGTGCGAAGGCTGTGGGGCACGTCTGGCCGGGCAGGGCCCACCAAGCCAGCTCGGACCTCCAGGAGCTGCTCCAGCGGGCAGCGCATCGACCAAAGTGCCCAGGGCCTGGAGCACGGGCTCCCACGGTAAGGTCAGGCCTTCAAGGACCTCAACTCAATCATTTCCCCAAATGCTGGGTCACATGCCACAGTCAAATCTGAAAATTTCCCTGAGGGTCTACTGTGCCCTCCCAGTGCCAGACAGAGCAGCATGGTCTAGAGGTGGCCCAGGTCCACGGGCAGTTTATAGTACAGCCAGTCTCATCTCAGCGATGTACCCATAAGGCAAATAAACTTCTAGCCCTGGTTATTTTGGATGTTCCTCTTACAGCCATCACTAGAAACGTGACCTCATATTATTCTGTTTGCAAAATAGGCTTAGGGCTCCCCATTGATGAGAGACAAGCATTGGGGCTCTGTTCCAGCCAAACCTTAAGCATATGCTTAACTTCAGCATGCCTGTGCATGGTCAGTGTGAATATGTGATCTTGTAATGAGCAATCACTAAAGCATAGTGGAGCTCAGGGAACGAGGGCTGCTGTATTGCTCTATTCCTACACAGTCAGGGAACTGCAGTGCAATTTGGAGAACTAGAGCATGCAGAATTAACTTCATCTTAATTTAGTCCCCTGAGTAGGCCATAAAGTTACCACTTTGGTAATGCTGCCCTCTGAGGACATTATGACATGCCAACATAGTGACTGTTTTCTCATCTGATGGTAGTGACGAGCTGCCATAATGCAAAGTATAAAAAATTCAGACCCTTCCTAGTTCTGGTAGCTCCCATGCCATCAGAGGACGACATTTTGTATCTGTATTAAGAAAAATGAAAGAAAATATTTACAGTATGCTAGCCAGTAAGACAAAGATGAACTAAGCGCCGACCAATCTACAACTGTTTTCTTTACAGGTACTTGCATGATAATTCTACCATCCCAAACTGAGCTTGTCAAATTACCTTTCAAATCAAATGCAGAAGAAATATCCGTCCTTGGCTGCGTTACTGTAAACCCAGCCAGTCTAGTAAAGTGAGAGTTACTCTTCCGTGTATTTGGCAAATCTGGGAGCAGAATTTAACCACTCGCTGTAAATATTTCTGCATAGTTTGTTTGAAAAAATCTTGCCTACTCCTCTTTCTGGCAGACTCTTAGAAAGTAGTAAATATGCAGATGGGCATAGTGATATATTTTGTATCAACATATTTTAAATGTGTGCATATGCATTAGCTATATAAATACATTCCCCAGGAAGTCTGCCAGTGGATATACTACAAAGCTCTGCGTATTACATTTGGGTTTGCTTGTGCAGAAGCATGGCAGCATCAGAAAGAACCCCTCTAGGTTTATTTGCACTGTATATACACATAGTCCAATGCCTTCATTATAAAGCTGTTATAAAGCCACAAGAAGGTCTGTGAACTTTCTATGAAATATTGTTCTGTACAGTAGCTTCTATGGGAATCACCTGCGTGATGACTCTCTGCTGACCCAGTATCGCTTTACAACTAATGATGGGTGATACGTGCAGACCGTAGCAGTATGGCAAATCTGTATGATTTATCAAGTCAAAGTGTATGTGATACAGAACAACACAAGAGTAATTCACCACTGACCCAGTTGCTGCATCATCAGCTCTAGCCCTGTGCCTGCTGTGCCACCCCACGCACACTGTCCCCCCCATGCTGCCCAGTATCCCTGCTTCTCCACCCCACCTGTGGCATCTGCCTCTGGCCCTGCCCCCTCTCCCTGCTCTTCCCTGGATCTAGACAATCTGCTGCACATGCAGACCCCTGACAGCAAGTGGGACGAGTGGGTCTTGCCCAAGCTGTGGGGTCCTGCCCTGAGGGCCGGAGAGAAGTAGCTCTTGCCGGTGCCCAACGCTGCCCTGCGCTGCAGCACCCCCTCGCAGCCAGACCGGCTCCCCTACTGGAAGGACTGGCTGGAGGCTGGCAAAGGACAAGAGGGGAGAGGACATCTGTCCTCTGCCCTTGAGATCCCACCATCCCCTTATCTAAAAGGTCTAACAGTGTCACGTTTCTTGCTGTTACTGCGCTCCTTCTCCGGTATCGGTATCACGACCCAGTCAAAGGGTATCGCCCACCACTATTTACACAAGCACTGACAGAGGGGGCAAGGGAGGAAGCAGCTGCAGTGCTGTGGGTGGATATGTATGTGTATATACATACGGTATCATTAACCATGCACTATATAATCACATGGATACTGTTGCAATGGTGCTATGAGAACCATGCTCTTCTACTTCATTGCACAAGGAAAAGACACAACAAATACTGCAGTGGGAACACAGCAAAAAGACAACCTTGCGTTCAATTCTAGACAAAAATCAATTTGCTTTTGAAGTGATGATAAGCTAGAATGAGCATTATGGAATTCTGCTTCCCGCCTCCCCTCCCACCTTCTGTAGAGCTACTGTTTAGATGAGCTACAGTATTAAAAGAGAAGCTGCAAAGATGCTAGCTGAAAAAATAAAGGATGAAATAAAAAGTCAAGCATCCACATTCCCCCCAACTAAAAATGAAGTTCTGAGGAAAGGGAGGAGGGAAAAGAAAAGGAACTTACCACACTGCGAGTGAACTTTTCTAGAGAAGTTCTACGACCTTGCTCATTCTCTGGCTTAACAGGGAAAAAAGTGGGAAGAAAAAAATACAGAAAAAAACCCTTCAGCTTAAATGCAGTTTTTCTAAACAGCAGCAAAATATAAGGAAGCAGCAAGGGGGAAAAGTTGTAAGAAAAATGTAAAAAGCAGAAATCAATGTTTGCAACAGCAAACATAAAAAACCAAAACCCCTTAAAGGATGAGAGACATCACTACTTTTACTCTTGGAGAATGTCACCTTTTCTCCTGTGAGTTTTTTGAACGGTTCAAACAGGTCTGTGCATTGCTGTGTCTCACAGCTATTGGTATTGATCTCTTGTTCATTGAATTTTCCTTCTGTGGCTGTTTGAGCTGGGACCTCTGATTCTGGTTAACATCTGCCAAACAGCTGATTGGAGGCTCCCATCTACTTGCTTAGAGAGATGAAAAAAACCACAGTAACTTTTACAGTATTAAAAAGCAATGTGTGAGTGAATACAGCGCTGGACAAAAACCACCACTGAACTCATTGCCAGGGAACCTACACTCCTCTATTTATCCAGAGGCTAGAAGCACACTTCCAGTAAGTTTGGCTACACTGAAACACAAGACAGCATACAGAAAGATACAGATAGACTTGAGGCACTGATATTTTTTCCTCTGGAGTACAGGACTATTCATATTCAAGAAGACATTCAGCTTCACTGCGAGAAGACAAGCGTGTGTACCACGGCTTTATTAACATATCCCTGAGAAGGTTGCTCACTGCAGCACTTCATTCATTTGGCACAAGGGAGATCTAATTGTCACTAACAAGGAAGAACTAAATAATTTATTGGCATGTTTGCTGGAATATCTAAGAGAAGAAAATTGTTATGGAGAAGAGAAGAAACTAAATAATATGAAGGAAAGCTCATTGCAGTCAGAAAGCTGTGGGCACTGCTAATTTCCAGGAGAGAAACTTATTTTAATTTGGTGGGCCAGCAAAATGGAGGTGATAAGATGGAAGCAAAACTTCAGCCAAGGGAATAAAGAGCTACATATAAGGGAAAGCCACAGTAATGATGGTGCATGACACTGAACTGGAAACAAGCATTGCACTGCTCATCAGAGACACCTGCCTGCCATATCATAGGCCACAGATTCAGCTGCAGTAACAACCTCCAGGCCAAAGCACCTGTCCAAAAACCAGACCGGGAAGATTGTAAGGAAGTCAAAAGCGTATCAGATAAACTGGATGAGAACTTGTGTAGGTGACTCCAGGCAAAGCCTTCTGATTCTTCTGCATGTTCATCACAGCTGCCATAAAGAGCAGCTCTCTGGTGTCTACAGGGTTAGTCTGAAGCATCCCAGGCAGAGATGGGGCTGATCCTCCCTGCCACATCGCCAGAGGTGAGAGCAGAACATAAGGCCCTTTTAAGATAAGCAATAGTCTCTGTTCAGAAGAGTCATGCAATGTCCCCATTATGACCATTTGAGGAAGTCACACCATCAGTTCTGATGTCCCAAAAGTGGTATCAAAAGTGAAAGTGAAGGCACACTGTTTTAACCAACACTGAGGATGATGCCAAGGCCTCAGAGCATGTACCAAGCAAGAAAGCATACCTGCTGGCTGGCAGGGAGGCTGTAATGTACCCAGTCCAATGCTTCACAAAGGAGTATTTAACATGCACTAACCCCGGGGTTAGCTGCCTCTCCTTGCATGTGAGAGGAGAGGAAAGGGAAAAGGAACGTCAGCCTCCCTCTTCTGCTGAGCGCAACAGCAGTGCAAGTGCTCAGAGCACCACAGAGTCCCTGCACCCCGAGGCAGCAGAGATGACAGAGAGAGGCTGCAGTGCTGCTGCCCTGGCTGAGCACATCACGATTGAGGACAGCAGCACGAAGCCATGCATTGGTCTCGGTGCCGGCCTCCTGTAGGGGCAGCAAGACCCACCGGCAGCCAAACTGAAGGCACAATTTCATCCAGGAGAAGAAATACCTACACAAAAGACAGACTGTTCTGCAAGGCTCCCTAGGGGAGCAAGGCACTTGGCAGTCTGCAGCATCACACTGCTGCGGGCTGGAAAATCAGTGTCCAGCCTAACCTCATTTTCAAGTGGAGCTTTGGTGTGCACTGTGGGCAAAGGAGAGCAAGCTGATGAAAACAGGCCACACTGTGTCCCTGCACTTGCTGTCAAACTTTAGTGTCTCTGGTTTAGCTACCAGCAAGGTGATGCAGCTTCCCACCCAGCAGGAAGGCAGGATGGTGTTCTCCAAAGATGATGAGCACCTTGTTGGGGTGCTGAGAGCTCATCTAGCACAGGGACACACACACAAGGCTGCTTCCCTAACATGGCTAAAGACATGTGTGGGGAAGCAGACACAGAGCACCAACGGTGTCCAACAGAAGTGCCTTGCAAGCACAGCCTGAAGCAACCCTCCACATTTGGCACGGGGATGTCAGGCTGGGACCAGCTGGATGCATGTAAAGCTCATCCCCACAGCATCCAGCTCTTGAGTCAAAGCATGACATTTTCTAGTAAAATAAAAAGCAGCTGAGGCAGGCTGGCTGCGGAGTGATGAGGCAGCTTGAGCAGTTTTAATGGCAGTGGGTGTGGGTGCTGGCTGTACGGCTCTCCGGCTCTTCCCGCCTGCTTGCCCACAGCCTGTGCAGCTGGCAGCCCGCCGCGGAGGTAACCGCCTGCCTGCACCCCTCCAGCGCGGCACCCAGGCACGGAGGCTGCCTTGCGCAGCAGAGGAAGGAAATTTAAATATAATAAAGTGGAAGAAGAAGAAAATAAAATAGACTGAATCAGACATTTCTCGGTCCTGTGAATAGATCTGGGGTCCTGTGCAGGGAGTGTCTCACAAGGCTGCAGACCCCCGAGCCGTGCCTGCTGCAGCACCACAGCAGTGTTTGTACAAACACACACTGCACATGCAAAGGGCAAAGGCAGAGAAACGCATGTGCATGCCAGGTCAAACAGTCCTCCTAGGTGCAAAAAAAGACCATTTTTGCCAGTAAATACACCAACAGGTTCTACCAGCTAATGGCAAAGGACATGTGCATTTGGATAAAATATGAAACAACCACCCCCGCTGCAGATGAAAACCTCTCAGCCCAGGTAGGTGCAGGAAAATAGATCTCACCAGTTAGGAACTGTTCACTAATTACTGACTGTCTCCTCCAAATTTTTCTTTTTTTTCATGATTCATTATTTAGCCAGCCATCCTGATTTTAAGTTCCTTTGTGTAGATTCTGCTGGCACAGAGCAGTGTAAGTAGAAAAAAACTTATGAAAACCAGCTGACACTGATTATTAAAAGTAATTATGAGAAAATTGCTCAGCATCTTTACAACATACAAGCCAACTCCTGCCACTGAATCAAACTGGTCATGTGTGCCCTGATGGGCCCGAGATGGGCACAGAATCGGCAGTAGGAACCTTCCTGGACAATACAGAGCAGATGGGACAGAGGGCCTGGATCAAAGCAATGCTTCAGGTGTGTGCTGAAAACAGAGCCTGTCCCGCATGGCATGAAGCTCCTAGCCATTGCCTTGCTAACACTTTTTGCCAGGGATCTGAAAAGGGGTAGGGAAATACATCAAAATGCTTGGTCTTCTGAACTACAGGTCTGCAAAAACCTCTCCCTCCCTTCCTCTCTCCATCGCAGGATTCATTTTGTTGGCTATTGAATCCTTTTTTTGGCATGAGACTTTGGGGCTTAGGGTGGGGTGGGGTTTTTTTTGAACTTTAACTTGATGAAAACCATGTGTTCCAGAGGGAATGGCGTCAGACAAAAAATAAAGGATAATCCCTTCCCTGACCCTGGTTTAGGGAAAGGCCAGGAGCAGGTCTCAGGCTTCTCAGGCAGTCATGTCCACCTGTCCAAAGTGAGAAAGCAAAGGGCATGTACAGTGCTACCAAATGGCTGGAACAGTATTTTGCATCTGGTTTGTGTCCATTTGTGCAGGACCACAGAGAACTCGTTCTTCTCTGAACCAGCTGGAGAGGAAAACAATGTTCTAAACCAAGCAAATACCAACCTGCTCTTCCCCGGTGTGGTGAGGCTCGCTCCCGTGGCTTCGCAGCCCATCTGCACTGCAGCTGTAGCCACCTTTCTGGGCTGCTCCCCTGCCTGTGGGCAGGGCCTGATGGCGGGAAGGCACCCCATGCCAGGCTGACATGAACACTAGTTCTGTGACAGCTTGTCTGCTGTTTCAGCTAATGTGGAGATGCCCACCAATGTCACCATTTCACCTTTATGGGGAGTAATGCAAAGTGCCTTGAGGTATTTTCTGTTACTTTCTCTCTCTTATCCTCAAAACTGACTAGCAGAGCACGTGTCTGGCTGCTTCTTCATTGTTAACAAACCTCCTGTGCAACCCCATCCCCCTCCATGGTGCACTAACTCATCTATGCTGCTCTTTCCCCAGGGAGTAAACCCCTGCTTTGCAGGCGAGTCACCCAGCCCAAACACTTCCTTGCCTTGAGCAAGGAGGTTTGTCACAGCATTCATTCTGACATGAGGCTCACTGCCATCTAAGAACGTCCAGCCACCATTTTGGCTACTATGGAGGAGGGCTGGAGGGCACTGCAGCGTTGATTACCTGCTGTAATGTAGCCTGCAGTAACGTGCCTATCAGCAGAAACAGGAGCAGGTCAACACTTGACTCTGCACAGCATGAGTGGGGCGTGTTATGCGGATACACAAGTAAAACGTGATGAGTCGGTCGGGGATCTCGGCACCATCCAGCTCTTCACTGCTGAGCCGGCTGCTTTCAGCAGGCATGTGATTTCTACCTGCTGTAGGGGGAGGCTGAGCATGGAGGCAGAGAGCTTGAACTGGGCCGGGCATACAGCCTGGCAGGGGAGGAGGACTTCTGTCCAAGGCAGGGAGCTACACTCAGCTTTCCCCCTCTGCAGCTCACTGCTTCCAATCACACCCTTGCTGGAGGCCAACCTCATGTTCCCTGCTGAGCACCATGAATCTGCAGGATTAAGGCCAATAATACTGTGGTTATTTGTAATAATGAGACTGGGAAGAACGAAGGAAAAAAAATCTAAAATGGATTAACAAAGTATGTATGCCTGGTCTGTATGTGGCCTATGTCCACTGTCTTGCATCAGTTAGTGGTGTGAACAATATGTCCCTTTTATCCTCCCTGGTCCCCATCATAATTCTGTCATTGTATCTCAGTCCTGACCCATAACTTCTCCTCTCTCCCTCCCCTCCATTACTGCACTCTCAGAGCAGGGAGGGGAAGCTCCCACATCTGTGGTTATTGTACAGCGTGGAGAAAAAGTAACTCTTCAAACTTACAGTATCTTACAAATTTCAAAAATGTCAAGCATGTTTTGAGGCACTAATCAAGCTTCTCCACCTCTCCACTGGGCAGGTCACTATTATAATTCCCATTTGACAGAGAAGAGGATATGAAGCAGACGAAGTTGAACGTTCTTTTCGCTGAGGTCACACCAGAAAGTAAGTGGGGGAACCAGGGGAAGCGCATGGATTTTGTGGGTCCCAGTCCTGTGCTCTAGCCACACAGTCAACCTTTCCCTTTTTCCTGCCCTCTACCCTGTTTACTGCCAGAACGCAGTGCTGGAGGGCAAAAGATCCTGGATGACATAAACTTATCCACAAAATACTCATGTGTGAATCTCAAGCCACAGAGATGTCAATTTGTTTTGTACAAGCAACTCTTTTAGCCGAAGTCCATCACGCTGTGCTTCTGACAGAACTTATTTTCAGTAATAAAAGTAAGGCTGTGTCATAGTGGTGTGGTATAGAGGCAACATTAGGATAATGTCTTGGGGCAAGACATAACCATGCCCCAGAGAGACGTACTCATCAAGTCTTAAACAACTGCAGTGAATTTCTACTCACATCAGTGAATCCAGGACTTCATATGCAGGCTCTAAACCAAATCCTCCATCCATGCAGGCTCTGATATGTCACTGGGTTTCTCTCTTCCTTCCCTCTGCTTTTCAGCTATTTAGAGGAATTTTAAATGGATGCCTCTCAAAGCTGCACCAAATATCTTACCGTGTATCTCAGCATACAGAAACTTCATGTTCTTTCTGTCAGCATCTCTGTACCTACACTGTTTCAGAAATGTTCACTTGCCCAACACAATGCAACGTGATTGCAAAGAGCTTTACAGATTCTGGAGTAACATCAACTCCCCTCCCGCATCATGTGAAGCTGGTGAACAACTCATCTGCACAGATCTACTCCTGCCTTTTTTGTGCCTCGCTATGTTTACTCATGCACCCACAGCTCTTTCTAAAAGAAACCTGATTCTTACTTTCACGGCTGTGTTAACATGACACCAAAGCCTGTTCCTCCGGCAGTGTGCGGGGGGATGAGGATGTCATGCTGACACATCCAGGGCTTGATCTGACAGCAAACAAGGATTGCAAAAAAACCCCACAACAACCACCTCCGGTTTGAATGGGCTCAACTGGGAGAAGAAAACTCTTCTGCTTTCAAGCACATGAACCCTCATGTGTTCAATGGAGACTTGGGGGTGGGGAAATCATAAACTGATAGGAGTAGGAAGGTGGCAAAGGTTTTTATGCTTTATACCATCAGAAGACCTTGTCTCCTTCTCTCCCCACAGTCTCTTAACTGTAAGTCAGGTCTAACCTTTCCAAATGTAAGCAGCCTTAGTTTATGCTGTCTCAAATCAGACATTTTGAGACATAAGGCCAACTGCTGCCCTCCATTACCTTCCCCTAATCCACCTGCCAGTAGTCCCAGGCACAGCAGACAGAGGGGTTTGTCTCCTTTTGTCACCATATGCATGCTTTTAGGGCACACAATGACAATCAGGACAAAAATACCACTGGGATTTCATTGTATTGTGCTGATGCAATGTAATTTGGCAGCACACAGAGAACGAAGCAGAAAAACAGCAGGGAAGATGGTGATGGGAAACCACACACTCAGGCTGCAGGAGTCAGGAGTCAGTTTATGTATGGTCCTGGGAGCCAAATGCAAGTGGGACACATACATGTGTACATGCATGCACATGCACACAGGCGGACATATAGACGTATGGGGATAAGTTAGGAGGGGCAGGAAACATCTGAACACAGCCACAAACACAGAGGTCAGTAGCTTACCTCCCAGCCCCCTCAGAAGGAAGGAACACTTGGACAGGAGCTGCCGTTACTCTATGTAATCACTCCCTGAACTGGGGGTTCCTGGCAGAAACATGGTGCTGGCAGAGCACATGCAGACACCAAAAAGGCTAAAAAGAGCTCAAACCCAGTTCTCCTGTGAGACAGTGTGGCTGGAATTCTTGATTACTGCATGGGTTGCAATTATTTCTCGTCTCCAAGGAAAAAAAAAACATCTCTGGAGAGCCAAAAGCGAGGGAATGGAAGAAAAGGAGCATGGGAAACACTGCAGGGGGATCTACAGGTAAGGCATCCAAAGGGAAATTCACATGGTGAGGCTAGGGAGGTGAAAACCAGAATGGGTAAGATTTGCACCAGTAATGAATAGATTGATGGGTTCTGCTTCTCATACCAGACACCATCTTTGTCATGAGGAAAAGGTGATACAATTTTAATTGCCTGCACTGAGTTTGGGTGACAGCTGTGCAAGACAAACACTTTTCTATGTTATTTTTACCTTGTGTCACCATGTTTTCCCCAAAACACACATTCAGACTGTACATACGGATGCCGTACCCTGTGTTCCCAGTGAAGAAAACAAAAGTGCTCATTCCTTTCTTAAATAAAGGAAAAAAAAATAAAAGGAAACAATATTTTCATTTTCACACTAGCAGCAAGCAGCAGGCGAGAATCAAGAGGTGCTAAGAGATGCAAGCACGTCCTTTCCAACAGATACCTTCTTCTTCGCCAGCAATAAGTCCTGGTAAGCATTCGAACGGAGGAAGCGCGCGTAGCTGTCACTCTTCATCAGCTTGTAAATGTGCTCCTGTGGGACGGGAGGAAATGAGAGACAGAGAATTGTTATCAAACCTCATTTAGACATCACAGGGATTTAAAACACAGCGAATTAGAAGGAAGAGAGACTGATCAAAGTTCTAATTAAGTCTGCTATTATTGATTATCTGTGTTGTGGTAGTGTACAGGAGGTCCATCCTGGGGCAGGACCCTGCTGTGCCTGGGGCTGTAGGAACACGAAACAAAGAGATGGCCCTCACCCCAAAGGTTGGCACACATTATTCAGTAATCAGCGTTATTCTGCAAAGACTGCAACTCTCTGAAGTCCCCAGGTTATAAACAGGCATCTAGCCAGGCTGAAACTACTGAGATGTCTCAAGAAGGAAGAAATAAACACCAGAAACTGTCCCATAGATTACATTCCATTTTACCACTCATAGATACTTGAACTATCACCCAGCACTCCCCTCCTATTCATGGAGGGGAACTGATACCTGGACACACTTAATCTCCACTTAAGGCATGTACGTAAAGCAAGCCAACCTGTTAACGTCCAGAAAAAGCTCATATCTCTGGTGACTACGCAGGGAGGTTAGCTCAGATGTGGATGGCTACATCACATGTATAAGGTTGTGTCAGATGAATCCCCCCCATAGGGTCTTTCTTCCCCTAGCAAGTCAAACTACTGATACCAGTTTGCTCTGAGAGCACTTACTATATGCATCTTCAAACTTACAAAGTGGTGTTTCATTGCAGCAGAACTGAATGCCTACCCTTTTCCAATTTCCTTGCTTAGCTTTACTTTCCTGCTGAGAATCCCTTCTCCTAATTATCCCTGGATTTGTAATAGATACTATCCCAAACACCAAGAAAATCAAACCAAAATACTTTGAAAAAATAAAGACTGAGAATACACTAAAGAACTCAAGAGAAAAGCAGGCACCCTGGACATTTCTCTTAAGACTTTGCCCAAGGAAGCACTTTTATAGAGTTAATGAGCAATTTTATCTATACTGATGTATGCAACGTGAAATATCCTCTCCTGCCCTAAAGCCATTGTACATGAAACTTTAGAAGAGCCAAACCAGACTGAAGCCACATAGCTTATTTCACAGTGTTAACAAGCCAAGCAGAATTCCCTCATCTTCACCATCATGGGTAATTAGTGATGACCTGTCTATACACAGAAGAACTGCTTAATTCAGCTTTCTTACACTATTTGGTGTAGTCCTAAGAGGGGCATAACTGCCACTGGTTTTCCTACGACACAGCATAAACGCATCCTTTGAGCTGCAACCTGGTGTGGAACAATTTTTACTGGTTAATTTCCATACTTGCTTCTAGCCCTGACAAATCCTCATTTGTGTAGCACTATCTGAAGGATAGCACAAGATTTTGCAATAGAAATGCTCATATAAAGCCATTTAGCAACTGTCACCCTTCCCTGCTGCAGAAAAACACAAGGGAGGGCACAGCTTCATACTTCTCACCTACAGCACTGTCATGAGATTTCACATCCAGCTGTGGGACATTTGTTCTATTTATTCAGGACAGAATGAGCCAAGTATGCACTAAGACAAGAAGAGGGAAAATAATGCACGTCGTGGATACGGTTGTCTATTTCTCTGGTGTGAATAAGGATTTTCAACATCAGCTCTCTCAAATACTTCAACTAGCAGAAACTCTGGATACAGCTGACTTAAACCCAACCATATTGCAACCAGTTCACCTGTATTGTTACCTCTTAAGGTTTCTCAAGAAGACTTCATGTCCTTCTAATGAGTTCTTCATAATTACCTGGGAAAAAAGCACACCTAACTATATAGCTAAAAGTCTTTTTCCTTCCTCTTCCAGGACCATGAGGAGACTGATGAGTAAGTGGGGCAGCACCCTGTACATGCAGGGTACTGATGGGAGGGGGTGCTGAGGTGGGCAGGAAGGTGCTGTGGGGCTGAGGTAAGGTAGTGAGAGACAGAGGTATTCTGATTAACATTTTGATAGACATGTGATTAATTTTTTTTTCACTGCCTTGGACTTCAAACAGTTTCTTTACCCGCTGTCAGACAACTGGGTCTGCTCTGAAAAACAATGATTACATTTTTGGAAAATAACATTCAGTTTTTATTGCTGTGCAGACAGACCACATGAGCTGTTTGCAGGCAAAGGAGAACACACCAGGCTGGCCATATAACCCGCCAGCACGCCAGCGACAACTATCATTCTTGCTCATGTCAAGGTGACTTCATGTATTTGACCTTAAAACAGTATAAACTCAATATCCAACTGAATTCCAGGTAGGACTCAGACTCCCAGCTCCTTGATCTAGCCTTAAGACAGCAATCCTTTAGAGAGTCATGCTGCAAAAACAAAAATTTAAAACAATATCTGCCTGTGGAAAGGGGGAAAAATTACTTTGATCCTGAGATAAGTGAACCACAAGCCAACTTCTTAACTGAAGCCCTTCCCTGAAAAGCAGGACCATTGCACACCCACAGCCCAACTGCCACCACAGTTAGCTAATTGGTATGAAGCATTTTCTCTACTTTTCACATCTTGGCATCACTGAACAGCAACACCGCTACCTTTCAGCTGTTCACCAAAGATCTGATCAAACAGGGAATAACTATTCCTAGGCTTTGAATGCTAATGAAGAAAGAAGGCTGAGCATAGGGGAAGGGAGGGACATGCACAGCTTCAGAAGCAAACTTTACTGCTTAACTGCAAGAATTCAAAGGGCTTGCTTTGAAGAAGCGCTGGACTGGAGGCACGAATGATACACTGATCATTTATTTTACAGCACTGCATTTCTGAAGCACCTACTGGAAGTCTGAGCCAGTTGCTCAGGTCAGCAAAGATTGCCTTCCAATTTGCAACAGTACAGGCCAGCTTACATTGCTGCAGCCAAAATCCCCGCTGAGACTGCACCATGAAGATTCCTGCTAAAATTGTGGCTGCAGCATGTGTTCAGGCCAGTTACACAACAAATCTATCTGCAGAACAGGAAACACCAGTGGCTAGGACATTTGTTTTGATCTTTAGTCTACTCTGTTCTTTGCCACCAAGCTATTTGCTGCTATACTTTGTAGAATCTGCAACTTTCTAGGGAAAATTTACAGCTAGCGTTTAGCAGCTCCTCATTTCATAAATACATTGGAGGTCTAGCAACTGAGCAAATTCTTCTGTGGAAGCCTGAGCAACACAGGCGTATCAACAGAGGCATGGGCACAGAATTAGCTGCTCTGTGCAATTTGTGCTATTCAGCTTGTCCCTTTCTATCATGGATTTTTAACTCACTTTCGATTATTGCAACCCACTGGTCTCTAACTTCTTACTGAGCAGCTGCTTTTGTTCTTCCTCTTTATCACATGGCAGAGGGGGAGCATAATCTCACCAAAGACTGAAATCTCCACCTGCAGCCAGCAATGACGCACTGCTGCATCTAGTGATGCACTTTATGCATGCTCCCTGATATACCTGATACTGATGTCAAGAAATCTGAGCCTTCCCATCCCTACACCGAGAGAACTCTGCATTTTGTAAAGTTGTTTATCATAGGGTAATGAGCTCAGTATTACTGGCTCCTTGAATGCACAAAGCAAATGCAGTACTTGTGTAAGTTTTAACAACGCAGCCGCAGCTCTGGACATACATTACAGTCTCTTGTACTGCGAGCAGTCTGGCCAGAATTATCGAAGTTCCCCATTCCTTTGCAAGTGCCACATCTGCACAACAGCAGACGAAACTTTTCTAGGCAGCGTAGCGTCTCCCAGCCGTTGCTGGGTACCACTTCCCAGGTAGGGATTCGACTCCCAGCTTCCTGATCTAGCCTTAAGACAGCATCCCTTAGAGAGTCACACCGCAAAAGCAAAAATTTAAAACAATCATCTAACAAAATTGCCCAAGTGATCTATTAAACCATTAAACAAGGTAACACCCTGCCTTTAAAACCAGATAGAAAGCAGAAAAAGTAAGTCTTTTAAGATTTAGCCAGGAGCTGAAAGGCATCACGCATCCCACTGGTCTCCCTTGCAGCCTTGCCAGCCATCTCTGAGCACCAAGCCATCATCTCAGGCCACTGCAGCAGCAGCTGCGAGCGGAGACAGGGACTGATTGACATGTGCAAGCAAGTCTTGGCAAGCTGGCTTTTTGAACTGACCCATCACTTAGTCCCTCACACAGCGTGCTGTTGATGAGTGCTGGCTGTACTGATGCTTCCCTGCGAGGATGGATGCACATTTAGAAATGTCATTCTAACATGGAGGGTGACACAATAACCTGCTTTTGTAATTATGGTAGATTTAATCTCCAACAGGCAAACAATTCCCTTACAAGACTCGTCCCAGCAGAGCGGGTTTGCTGTCAAACATCCCCAGAACTGTTGTTCCCCAGATCCTGAACCAAGGCAACAGAGGCAATGGGGTCTGTGTTCATCTCTTCTTGAGAAAAAGGCAGACCCCCTTTTGTGTTTCGTGCACCCAAATCATACCTCCTCCATGGGTGGGAAAGAACTATGCAGCAGTCCTGAGGGCTATCTGGCTCCACTGAGCATCTTCTCTGTACCTAGGCTTGTATCATGAGAGTTACACTTCAGAGAGAGTAACCATTCCACTTGCCATTGCATGATATAAAGGAGAACAAACAGTAAATTTTAAAGGGGGAAATGTTGTCACTTCTGTGAATTAGAAAACAAAGGAACCAGACAGGTAAATCACACAAAAAAAATCTTTTCCACAGTTACGTGAAACCAAGAGGAAATCCCGCCCCTGACAGCTGACAGCTTAAGTGCAGGGAAATAAACCCTGATAAGGTTCAGTATCTCTCAGCTGTTTTCCTTCCACAAGCTCTATCTTTGGAAAGAGATGAAGGACAAGCTCTGTAAATTTTCTTGACAAGAGGGGAAAGGGGGAGAAAAAAAAAAAGTTTGCAATCCAGACGGGAACGTGGGAGGTGGTTGAGATAGCAGAAACTGTCTCAAAGCTGCACCTGCTTCAAATCAGTGTTTTGCAATGTGCTCTCAGGTCTCTCTCCCCC